ACGGTGTGTCGGCTTCTCTTTACCGGCCTTCGGAAGTGATTGACGCCGTCGCTGGCGTCCTAGACCTTCTACCTCCTGAGCATCAGCTCAGAGGCCAAAAGGTCTTACAAGTGCTAACCAGGCACTACCTTACGCTGATCGAGGGCGCGGCACGTCCCGGCTCTATTCTCACCCCTCTCCACCGCACTGAAGCGGCGCCATCCGCTGTTCTGGCATCCCTTGCCACCAATCCCTCTAACCAGCGCGCCGATACCTCCCACCTCGTATGCACAGTTCGCGAGGCACCGACCTCTGTTCCGGAACCCTCCCCCGCGGCCCAACCCTCCCATACCTGGACAGTGGTGGCGGCCACTAGAGGTCCTACCAAAAGGATGCGCGTCCCTGGTTCTACTCCGGTGCACCATCGCGACACCGACGGTTCCCGCAGCCAGAGGTAAAGGTAAAGGGAATGGCAAGGGTAAAGGTACTACTGCCCCTGGCCCAAACAGAACTGCACTGGAGAAAGCCAAGAAGGCCAACAAAAAGGCCTGCGTGGTTGAACTCCGCTCGGTTGACGACGGCGCCCCTAAAATGGACGCCGCCGAGTTCATGACCTTTCGTAGTAGAGCCCTGGGGCTTTTGAGTGGTTCGGTCATCCTCAGTACCACCTTCCCGATCAAGGGAGGTATTGGACTAGTCCTTAGCGATGAGAGTCACGGGAACACATGCGTTCAGTCTTTGAATCGCATGCAGGGCTATACAGCCAAGGTCCGCACTGGATCATGGCCACGTGTGATTTTGTTTAATCCCGCAGTAGCCCGTGGTTCCACTATCGACTCAGTGAGTCGCTCTATCAAGGAGGGCAATCCTGCTCTCACCGAAGGTATCGACGGTGACAAGCTGGTCAGCGCGGTCTATTGGCGCGGCCAGCGCTTAGTTATGGCGATCTGCCCAACCCTCTACCACAGGCTCTCTGCCAGAGAGATAGATATAGCCAAGGTTATGGACGGTGCTTCTCGGATTCCCTCTGATACTCCTTTACAGGGTATCACGGATTCCTTGAGCACCTTGGTAAAACAATTTACGCCCGAAGCCCCAGCCCCCTCCGACACCACCTGGTGGACGGGCGAGCCTGTCTAGGCTGAAGGCGAAGCTTAAAAGGGCCCAGCGGACGTTCTACCGACATAAAAGGTTAAACGGCCCGGATGCACCTTCAACGGCGCATTATCGGGAAATCCGCGACGTTGCCAGACGTAAGTTCTGTGCCGCTGTCAAAGAGGCCAAGGGAGCAGCTGCTCGTAGATTCTT